CAAAAATGCTTTCGCGTGCGCCCTCTTTCGTGGTGTTTGTAGTCTTGTGTAGTATAGTCTAATTGTAGTTCATAGAGTCTCCAAGCTGTATCCCTCAAGAGGAGAGGACGGGACATTTGCAAACGTGATGCGAAGGCGTGGCGCGAACACTGTGAAGGCATCTGCAAGCCCCTCGAGGATATTAGGAAGGACATTAGCAAGGCCTCGTGAAGCAGCAAGGAGCGATCATGTGGCTTGTTCATTTCGGCGGAGGCGAAGCTGGGGCAAGACTTTGTCTATCTGGGTTCCGGCTGCGATGAGATTGACAAGGCAACGAAGCGGGTGCTTTACGTCAAAGCATCTTGACTGTCCTCTTTTCTGAGGGAAGGATAGCTCAGAGATCGTGGGCCCCTCTAGCAACACAAGTTATTGGCCTTTTCGATGGATGTTTGCTTATTCTCTTGGCAGGTGCTGACAGGTACGTTTTCTGAGCAGCTCTTCGTGAAAGTGGCCTTCAACACCAGCAAAAGCAGCTGGGCTCAACATCCGTGCAGGCCCTCAGCCCTCCCGCGCCAACTCCCGCTTTTGATGCTGGGCTTTTTAGCCCATCGCTGACACTATCCTTCAACCAAGTCTAAGGTAGACAAGATGCGTCAATTTTCTGCCAGTTGATTCTTCTGCAATGCCACGTCCTGGAAACTCGGCCAGCAAGTGGTCGGGAAGTCTCAGGAATAACCTGGCATTTTCTTAGGAGACGGTTTGGGAATCCTTGTTCCCGACGAGCTGCAAGGAGGCCTGCTGCCACACGGTGCGGTCAGCTAGGGCTTAAGCTAAGGGTGTACGGCTCCGTCTACGCTGAGGAGTACGAATCCTTTTGAGCTGACTCGGCCTTTTTGTCATCCTGCAGGCCACATTTGAAATCCTGGAGCAGTGGCGGCCTCAGACAGCTTCAGAGTTATGAGTTCAGACCGGTGTAAGCTCAGGTGCCCGGAGCTCTGGCTGGGAATTGACTACGTTTTCAGCGATGACGGGTGCCGCACGTTCTTCTCGCGGGAGGTGCACCCATGCAATTCGTTGCCGGCAGCTGCGATTTCTTAAGCAGTGTGCTTTGGCCAGGGCTTCGAGAAGTGGAGAAAGTCGGACAAGTGGACAGAAATCTGCGACAGAGAGTCCGAGCCCGAGCCGTATCAGAAGACTGGTGAGGGAGCTGTGTAACGCACGTGTGCGTGTAGGAACAAAGGTCAGGCGGGCGGCCGAACAGCATCTCGGCTCGCCCGTCCGTTTTCGAGTTTTCGCTATCCTCCCTCTCCGCCTCTCGTCGGGTCATGTCTGGTTCCGGACTCACGCCAGTGATGGAGGCTGCCGCCGCCCCTGCTTCGCCTACCGGGGCGGCCGGCTCTACGGCCACTCCTGGCGTGAGTCTGGACTTTGGCCCGACCTCGGCGCCTATTACGTCTGCGCCTGGTGGACTGGATTTGGATAGCCTGGACGGGCTTGAGCCTGCGCCTTTTGAGGCGTTCGCCTCGCCGGGCGTTCTGCCGGCTGAGGCTCTGGCGCCGGGTGGGGGCTATGGGGTCCAGGTCGTCGACTTGCTGGGCTTGGAGCTCGACGACAGCCCGGCTCCGTCTGGCCCGCCCCCCCCGGCCGGCGGCCAGGACCAGGGCACTCAGACCCACGAGGCCCACTTCATCAGGTCCTTCGTGGCGGGCTTCTCCGTCACTGGTTTGGCGGCCGCCATTCGGGCGCTTTCGCCCGAGGACGCCTCCAACCTGCGGGCGGCCATGGCCGAGGCGTCGGCGTCTTCGGCATCTTTGGCACTGGGGACGGCACAGCCCACGACGGACCCTGGCCCGTCGGCACCGCAAAATCGCGCCTTTTGGGAAGGGCGTGATCCGGCTCCGGCCAGGACCTCGCCTCTGCTCGTCGCCGACCCGCCGGGCCCAGAGGCGGACTGGGACTCGCTCACGACCTACCTGGCCGAGTTCGACGCCGTCGAAGGGGCGCCAGCGGCCTCGTCGGCTTTGCCTGTCCTGGCGACGGCCAAGCCCAAGAAGGTGGCTAAGGCTCCTCCGCCGCCGTTTCTGGAGCCGGACACTACTTCGCCGCCGGCGCCCATGTCGAGCTCGCCGGCCAAGCCACCGCCGGTGCCCTTCCCGCAGAGGCCGGCGGCCTTCAAAAGCACCAGGCCGCTGAACATGAACCGCCGCCTGCGCCCGAGGCCGCCAGCAGCTCGATCGCCAAGGCCGTCTTGAAGGCACCACCGGTGCTGGAGCCGGAGGTGCCGGGCGCCCCTACGACGCTTCACTCGTCTACGGCGTCTATGATTGGGAACACGCCATGGGCGGCCAGGCCCAGGAAGGCCGCCCCGCCAGAGCTCCAGGAGCAGGAGCAGGTGGATCCACATCGCCAGGAATACCTCCGGCGCCAGGCCTTCATCCGGCAGGAGCAGGCCGCCAGAAGCCAGGCAGGGCTTCGCCAGCTGCCGGAGAATGTGGATTACGACACCGCCCTGCCCTCTCGCATAGAGAGAGAGTTCGCGGAGCAGCGCGCCATGGGCCCTCCGCCAGCCCAACAGCCTGCAGCGGCCGCCGGCCAGGCCACATGCACAGGCGGATAGGGCATCTGGGCCCCCGTCGGAGCAGGCCCATCCAGCCTCTCGCAAGGTCCGGGTGGTGGAGGACACACACCCCCCTACACCGGCCACAGCCATCGAGTCGCCGTGGCAGGACTATTTCCAGGCCGAGGCGGCGGCTCAGGAAACGGCTTCTTCTTTGTGGGCGGTGCCGCCTCCGCCTAAGGCGTCCTTTCCGCCGCTGGAGATGGCCAGGCGGGCGTCGTCCGACCCTCGCCAGGCGGCCTGGGACGACTTTCGGTTCCCGCTGCACGAGCCTGGCGCCTCTATGGCAGCTACGCCCTTGCCGTCGACACTTCGGGGCTGGGCGGTAACTCCTGGGAATCTGCAGTCGCCCTGGAGCAGGCAATCGGCGCCGGGGCGGTCTCGCCCCAGCCCCAGACGGTGACCCAGGGCGTTGTCCTCCGCCCCTTGCCAGGGCACGTGAGAGGCGGCCGTCTTCCACGCCGCCCAGACAGTCAAAACCTCGCCTGGGTCGGCTGGTGCTTCGTGGGGTGTCCGGGCCCCAGGTCGGGGCATCTTGGCCGCTGTCCTCACCGCGCCCGGTGCCTGCGCCCGGTGTGCTATCCGCCGGTGGGCGGGCGTCCACACGAGCACCACGAATGTGACGCCTGCCGGCCTGAGCGACCCGGCCTACGGTTTGAGGACTAGCTCGCCTTCTACAAGTTCGCCTGGCGCCGCCTGAGGGCCCTTGCGCCACTCGCCCTTTTTGCGGGCCTAGATGCTGACGCCGGGCGCCTGTTTTTCAAAAAAGAGTGGTCGGTGTGCGCCGTCTTGCCTGTGCTGTGCCCTCCCTCCCTTCCCTAAGCTCGGGTTGGTGGCTTGGGTTCGACCGGCTCGAGGGCTCAAGCACAATGGCGGCCGAGCCGAGACGGGGCCGCGCCGGGCAGGCCGAACACCTGCCGCTCCTGGCTCGCGCCGGGGTGCGCAATCTCCAAGGCCTGGTGGGCTGCCATGACGGCCTGGTGGCGGCGGGCCTGCCGCCGGAGGCTCTCGAAGCCATCCTGGCCCGCCGGGGGCGGTGTCGACTCTGGCCTTGGTCGCGGCCAGGCGGGCGGAGGCGAGGGCGTCCCTGGCCGCCGCGGTTGAGGCAAGAGGGCTATCGCCGAGCTTCGGGGCGACATGCTGGCCAAGACGACTCGGGGGCCATACGAGTCACGCCTCAAGACCTGGAACAGGCTCGCCTATGAGGGCGAGGTGGCGCCCTGGCCGATCTCGGCGCACGTCCTCGAGGTCATGGGGGCGGGCTTCAAGAAGGGCGCCTACCGCAGCGCCAAGGAGTACTTCCTCGCCGCCTTCAAGCACCAGGAGAACGAACTTCGCATCGCCGTCGACCCGCTCCTGCGGCGCCTGGCTAATCGGATCATCCGGTCCGTGGTGCGGGGCCTCCCGGGCTCACGCCTGAAGGAGGCCTTCCCCGTACTCGCCCTGGTGCCGCTTGTCGCCTTCGCAGACGCCGAGCCCTTCGACATCTCCCGCCCGGCCCACTCGGTGGACGTCTACATCATCGCCGTTTGGTTCATGTTGCGCGAGATCGAGGTCGCGGCCGCCCGGGTGGGCGA